TCCAGCATAAACCCAGACACCCCTGGGAGAAATGCATTGCCCTTGTGCAGCATCTGGAATTCGGACTGACTATTTCTCCTTTCTCAGTTATCAGGGCAAAGGCAATGTTTTCTGGTCCAAGCAAGCATGATGGCTAGAGAACATTCCCATTTTGGGATGGGTCACTGATAAAGGAATTCAGAGACATTTGGCTGCAGGGGAGCTGTCAGGGCCCACAGCTTCTTAATCCTCCTTTAAATAATTATTTCACAGTCTTGCAGATGAATTGAGAGGTGAGAGGCTGGTACAGTGTAGAGATTTCAGCCCCTAAACAGAATAAATTTTAATAGAATCATAGAATCATTTAGGTTGGAAAGGACCTTTAAGATCAACAAGTCCAACCGTTAACCTAACACTGCCATCCCACCACTAAACCATGTCCCTAAGCACCACGTCTATTTTATTGTCTTTTGTCCTCACAGCCATCTCAGGCCCTGAGAAGGACTGAAAATTAAAGCACCCTATTCTTATCTTGTCCCTCGTGCCATGAGATAATGATTCACCTTTGCTTGATGGCTCAGTATCTTCTTTAAACACTAAGGCAGAGGTTTGGTGGGGAAAAAAAGTCTTCCTCGTGAAATGACAAATTTGTTCTTGGCATCATCGCTTGACAAGTTCCCCATCTTAGTGCTTCCTGGAAAATCCTGCAAGAATCCAACTGCAAGCTGAACCTTGGTCAGACTAGGAGGCTTCGAGACTCTGCAGCTGTCCCAGCAAAGTCCACGCAACACTGCAAAACAAGGATGTGGCTGTGATAGAACCTTTAATGCAGGAACTAGGCAACTCCAAGAGGCCTCTCTCACCACAGTGTAAGATGTGGGAAAGCACCCAGGCTTGATCAGTTCTCCAAAAATCAACTGAAGCCAAGTGTGACAAGCATCTTTAAACACCTTCTAAAGCCTAGAATGCTTTCTGCTACACAGGAGGGGCCGCTGCCAAGCTATTGTGAAATGAAGGTCAGTTCAGGCTTTTGGTTCCAAGACAAAGTAAGAACTACTGGCAAAATACCAGATTTCCTAGTTTATGTTAGTTTAGGTTTGCATTGGCTGCTGGAAATCCAGCAACTGATCACTGTGCTGGACATGGGGTAAATCTACAGCATAGGCAAGGGCTGTGTAGCCTGTGCACACTCAGGCCGAATGCCACCGACAGTGAAGCTGAGCCAGTCTTACCCCTGTCTAGGAAGGTGTAAGCATATCATTCTTTCCTTGCTAGAGAATTGTGTGTAAAAGCCCCTCCTGAGTTCACATGTTCTGAGAGCAGTCGATGTTCAGGAAGAACCTGTTAGTTGGTTTTTTAAGTGCTGGGGTTTGGGCACATTATCCTGTGGCTGCCAAAGCCAGAGTAGCAAAAGGCACGGGCAGTCCTCTGCAAAGCTTGTACGTCCATACAGAAAGGGGAGGTGGGGAGATCATTTCATTTTAGAAAAGCTGTTGACTTCTAGGACATTGTTCAACCTTCCATGGGTAAAATACAGTTTGATTTTACACTGTATATAAACCAAACAATATGTTAAATGTGCAATATACCAGCTACCAAAAGGCATTTAAACATTGTTCACTTCCCGCTTCAATGCAAGACTGAACTGGGCATTAGTTATATTCCGTGCTGTTGGCTGAAGCCAGGCACTTTTCACAGGCTGGATGCTTTATGGCAGTGTAGATACAGCCCAGGACGAATGCAAGAGCTGCTTAGGCAAGAAACCATGTGTACCAAATTTACTGCGTGGATGAAGTTCTGCCCTTTAACCGGGGAAGACAAACAACCCACAATGCCCGGAGCTTTGAAAGTCAACTTATGGCACTAAAGATGGCCTCCAAGGAAAGCCTTGATGATAAGCTGGTGCTGGTAACTTTGATTTTGGTCCAAAAGTTCATGTCTCTCCCCAGCCCCTATATTAAACTGAGGATTTTCAGATCTTTTCCAGTCGTGGTCGAGAGCTGAATAGATACCACCTCATTAAACCCCGTATCACTGGCAACTTTGAAGTCTCTTGGCATTTATGCAAAGGAAAATGCCAAGTTTCACCAAGCTCAGTGCAGAAACCACAAAATATGATAAATTTTGTCAATATTGTTTGCCTAAATGAGCGTTGGTTTGCTCAAAAGTTAGTTCAGATTTGCCATAAAAATGTAGTTTACGTTAGCAGATCTTTCCATCAACTTGGACTAGGCACAACTCTGCTGCACAGACAAGCTCCTACGCTTTCTGCTCATTTTGTAGAAGAGCCCCTTATGCACATCAAATTGGCATGCATTGAACGTTCTTTGCACTTAAAGCTAAACAGAAGCTGTGTTTTGTCTCTACGTTCCCTAACAATTAACATGAGACCCTAACTGCTGTAATGCAACAACTGACACTTCACCGAGAGAAAAAATCTGCTGTATTTATGCTTTCCCAGTGGCGTGATTCCTTCGTTTCTCTGTCAGGGGTACCTACTGGCTTTTGCATAGCTCAATATTTTATGGAATTTAGGACTAAAATAAAGGATTAGGGTAAAAATAAAGTTCTAATCTTAAAAAAGATAAATGAAAATAGCATCAATGCTTAGAGAACATCTCACAGTTACATGCAGCTCAGGGCTGAGGCTGCCATTATGTTTGCCTGAGCATGAACATTAAGCGTTAAGGGTAGCTATTAATGCACACACTCAGAAAATTCAGATCCCCCCACCCCAAAACAAGAACTTGAATACCTTGAAACCTGTGTCCTTCTTACCCTATGGAACAGTCCAGCTCACATCACCAGCCAGCAGCCTTTCCAGTTGATTTGGACTCGCAAAGAGAGTAAGGACTGCCGCCCCTTCCCCCTCTCCGGGAGCGGAGCTGCAGGCAAGGCTTGCTGTTACTCTCATTTTGCCCAGCAGCCAGACCTGAGCAGTGCTAGTGCTCCCATGCTGTGTGAACGGGCTTAGTGAAAAACACACAGCACGGGTGCTCCTCATGGGAATTTGGAAAAACAACATCAGAATCCCCTCTCCAGTTTACACGGGGCTTCTGTGCTGGCCTGTGCCCTGGTCCCATGCAGAAAGGAATGCTGCACTTCTCAGTGTGCAGGAATTGGTTTTCCAAGCCGCGGACAGGTCTGGCAAGCCACTGAGGCCGTCTATCATGTTCCCCTACTCCCCCAGCTGTTTGTTACCATACCTGCAGCTGCACTGGCAGAGCAGAAGCTGTGTTTCCTCTCTCATCCACTTCCAGCAAAGTCCCACCAGTTTAGTTAGAGAAGTAAGGCTGCAGGAAGGCACTTTCTTCCAAATTCAGCTGAAGAGATTTTGGCCTTCGCATGTCTACCTCCCATCCAAGCCAGGTGAGCACCCCACAGCCCCACTGCTGGAGTGGTTTGAGATGGCCCTGAATCACATCAAACAAACTCAGAGCATCTACTCAAGCTTCTCAGCCTAATTCAGACTTGTGGGTGGACAAGTGTCTTAGAATAAAGTGGTAGAGTTGAGGATAAAAGTCATCTCAGCTTTCAGGTACACAAGTCTTCCTTCATGCCTGAAACCAAAAGAGCAGCTTTCAAAGGCAACTATAAAGAAAGACCAAAATGTTCAGAGTTTTGTCTACGGAGCTTTACTTCAATGTGGTCTGGAGCAGTCACTGGTTGGTAGCATTTCATAGAATCATAGAATCAGTTGGTTGGAAAAGACCTTTAAGATCATTGAGCCCAACCGTACCTGTCCACTACTAAACCATGTCCCTAAGCACCACGTCTACACATCTTTTAAAACCTCTAGGGATGGGGACTCAACCACTTCCCTGGGCAGCCCATTCCAGTGCCTGATAACCCTCTCAGTGAAGAAATTTTTCCTAATATCCAGTCTAAACCTGGCACAATTTGAGGTCTTTTCCTCTTGTCCTATCACCTGTTACCTGGGAGAAGAGACCAACCCCCACCTCACTACACCCTCCTGTCAGGCAGTTGTAGACAGCAATAAGGTCTCCCCTTCCCTTCAGGCTGAACAACCCCAGTTCCCTCAGCCGCTCCCCATCAACCTTGTGCTTCAGACCCTTCACCAGCTTTGTTGCCCTTCTCTGGACACGCTCCAGCAACTCAATGTCCTTCTTGTCATAAGGGGCCCAAAACTGAACACAGCATTTGAGGTGTGGCCTCACCAGTACCGAGCACAGGGGAAGGATGACTGCCCTGTTCCTGCTGGCCACACTATTCCTGATACAAGCCAGGATGCTATTGGCCCTCTTGGCCACCTGGGCACACTGGCACAGCTGGAACTAGCAAGGCTGCCTAGTCGTACCCTTATTCTCCTTTTTCTACTCTATCCATTTGGCCTGCTAAAATAAAGCTATTTAGAGATACAGTGGGTTAAGAATGGAGCGTCCAGGGTAGGAGGGGAAGAAACTAAAGGTTTTTAATTACAGACGACAATACTCTTACGCAGGATACCAGAAAACTCAGCACTAAGATATAAACTGTTTTGGTCCAAGTACAGCACGCATATACCTGCTCATGACATGCACCTCATTACAGCTGACAGAACTACAACATGCCTGAATGAGGTGACAGTGCAGCCGACAAACAGAAAGGACTTCCATCACCTTTATTACACAGGCAAAGCCTACGGGACCACAATTCTCTGTTTCAATATAACTGGGTAAGCTGCCACAGAGATATGTTCATATTAGAGACAAAAAACTGCTGCAGGTGTCTCTAGAGCACTGCTGGCCATATTTGTCTTGTGGGTTACACTTGGCCAACTCTGATTTTAAAATCAAAGCAGGTACATTTTCCCCCACTCTAATACCAAGTAACAGATTTACTGAATTGAGCCCTTACTGGCAACCCAGTGGATGTGAAAAGAGAGTACTCCCTTAAAGAAAAACAAACCAGAACAGACAAACACATGAGAAACAGCCCACCAGTTTCCTCAGTACATTGGGGCATACATGCTTGCAATGTGAACTCCATAGAGCTGTATTTTATACAGCTGCATTTTAAAAACTGCTGAGCCGGCGACACTCCTTAGCTGGCCTCCGGGGTTCAGTTCAGCAGATTCGCAGTTACACAGTCACACAGATTTCTCTTTTCCACCTGAAGAAGCAGAGTTTCTGTCTAAAAGAGGGGGAACAAAAGCAACATCAAAAACCAAGTGTCAGCGCTGGAAAACTAATTAGCTCCCAAAGAAAAGTACATTTTACTTTTGTTCTAAGACTTGGAGTTAGTCGTACGAGATGAGGCTTGAGGTAAAAATCAGAGTTACTGCTTACTGCTCTGCTTGGCTTCTGCGAGATTAGTTGGCATACCAACCTGGCAATACTTCCTCTGACATGGAGAAATTCAGTCCGGTACACGTTCACGTTTTCCACGTTAGTACATTGCTGTTATTTTTGTTTAAAGCTATTTATCTTTCTTACAACCTTACTTCAACTGCACATAATGGAGCATAAGCTCTCAAGTTCATGAGGCTTAAAAAAACCCCCAAACCTATCAGAAATATTCTTTTTACTTAAAAACAGGCTCAAAAAATTAAATTTACAGCCTAGACTCACTGTCGAAAGTTATACAGAGAAAGTAAGGCATAATTTAGTCATAGAACCACAGAGTATCTCAAATTGGAAGGGACCCATAAGGATCATCAAGTCCAACGCCCTGCTCCTTGTAGGACTACCTAAAACTAAACCATATGACTAAAAGCATTGTCCAGGTGCTCCCTGAGCTTCGATGGGCACGGTGCCATGACCAGTGCCCTGGGGAGCCTCTTCCAGTGACCGACCACCCTCCCAGTGAAGAAATTTACTTCCATTTGAACTTCTCCTGCTTCACTGTTGTTATTGTTAATATGCTGCTGGAGCCTAAAATAGATGATAAGTGCTGAGCTGTCATACAGCCACCACCGTTCAAACACGTGATGAGATCACTGGCTTCTTTAAGAAAACGGATCCCAAACTGGTAGAAGCAAAGGTCCCCTAGCTGAACTGGGGTTCATCAATATCAGATCATTGCTGCCCACAGGGATTTTCTGGGGCAATGAGGGCAGAGTGGGAATTTCTCAGAGCTGGAGCTGGGTATGGTCAGAAAGGCCTGTGCCCTCCCAGCCTACCTGTGCAAGAAGGGACTGAGGACCAGGGAAGGGACAGCAGGGCTGCATAAGAGAAATTTGGGAATCCTTCCTCTCTAGCACACCCACGCTTTGGTTTTCCTGGCTGTTAGGAGCACTTGTGGCTTCAGTAGATGCATGATGGAGCACAGAGCATTTTGACATCAACATCATATCTCCATCTCAGTTTGTCTATCATGAGCTGAAGATGTATCTGAGAATCAGTCTGATCCAAGAAAGTGCTTCCTCCGTATTGTGACGGGACACACTAGCTGTGGGAAGTCCACTCACCAAATTAATCCCCACTGGTGTAACTAGCTACACAAAAAAAAGGCCGTTATGAAGACTACCAGCTCTAAACACCAGTGAAATCCACCCTTAATCTGCCTGTCTTGTGATTCTCGTATGAGACGGGATTGCCATGGGATTAAAGGCTGTGTTTTAAAAGCTGTGTTATCCATTGGCCCATACCAGCTCAAGGCACTTAGAGCAGAGCTGGGCTGAAGCATCCTGCTTACCCCCCGCCTTCTCAGTGCAGAAGTATCTATTGCTCAGGTTTTCTTCCCAGACAATAAATCACTAGACACAGCCCTGTGGTTCTATATTAAATCAGGCATCGCTTTTGATTGCTTCAGCTACCCTGCAAAACTGGAAAGATCTGATCAGACTTTGCTAATCACCTAAGAGACACTCAATCACCACCTTCTAACCATCTCCTTGACATCATTTGCAATGGTTTGAATAAGGGAGGCTGACAGCATGCCAACAGCTTTGGAGCTAAGCCCCAAGGCTGCTCACCATCTTATATATCTTTAATAACATTTCAAGCCTTTGTTTTTACTTTCATGGGCACATCTAATTTAATGTGCTTTGAACATTCCAAATAACCACTGACAGTTTAGAAAGGAATAAAGAGCAAAATGAATGGCACTAAATACAGCTTGGCTGACTGTTTTGTGAGCATGATCAAAAAACCATTTGCACAGAGATTTGTTATTATCCCCTGGTGGGTTAAAACATGTTCTAAAAAACAACAACAACAAAAAAACCCCCACCAAACCCCCAAAACCAAACAGGGCAGGGTCCAGATTCTGAACCTACAAAAACGCTGGTAAGTTCCAACTAAAAATGCAGTTCCTGAGCTCTTTAAAGTTGCAATGCGATGTCCGCTGGTTAACTCTGAAAAATGTGTTGGAATTTTGAAAATAAGTGTCTGTAATGCAGACTTACTGCGAACTGCATAGCCCATGGACCAGATTTGTTTTACCAGATTTGTTTTATGGCCTGCTCCCTGCTGGCCTCTGTCTTGAGCAGCTTTTAGATGCAGTCGGGAGCTGGCTGTAAACTGGCTGAATGGTTTTGATGGTAGCAGCTCCCTCCCAGCAGTACAAGAACCCTCTCCCTAGTTCATGATCAGAGCTGCACCTCTTGTGCTGGCTGAGTGGTGAATTACATGTATCCGCAGAAAAGATTGCCCAGAGTTGGTTACTGCTGTTAAAACAACTAATCCAACCTGCAGCAACAGAAGGGTGGAAAACAGTGTGTAGGGGGGAAGGCAGATCTGGTATGCGCAGGGGTAGTAGCTGGCCTCTGAGGTGGTCTGTGACCCTTCTCTTACCACATGAGCAAAATGCAGCCAGCCTCTCAACCAGTAAGTGAGCATCACATCAGTGTAGGCTACAAGCGCATCTAGGCTTGTAAAAGGAGGGAGATATAGCCTATGACCCCCATGAAAGGTTATGTGACCTATGCTAGAGTCAGTTTGCTTTGTGAGACACCGTGCAGATCAACACAGGGCCAAATTAAGCATGAAGACTCTTGAGCTGTGCAATAAAACTACATGGTTTCCCCTGTACAGAACTGCAGGGTGAGATCTGCAGGAAGAATTAAATGGGATTTTCCTCTCTAAGCTTTTGGGAATCCCTCCCCTTCCAACACAGTTAGGAGCTGCTTAGTCATCACCTAAAAATCTTGCTTGCAAATGAAAGAGTTTTTCAAGGAAATGAGTGTCTCCAGTGGGAGCATTAACAAAGGGAATTGTATTTTCAGGGACAGAAACATTTGCCTCACTAAGCAGCAAAACAGACTAAGACAGTCAAATGTAAAATATATAGGTGGCTGAAAGCAATTGTCTTACAAGTCCCAGTTTGCATCAAATTAGGCCACAGCTGAGTAATAAAACTAAGAATTGAAACACTGTAGAAGGCAGTTCTAAGAAGTCCTCAACTATTAAATATTTCCATGTCTTTTGAAGACATAGGCAGAATTCCCGGCTTAATGACTGGAATAGGCCTATCCTAGTCCAGAGGCACTGAAGGATCACAATATGGATTAAATTGTTTAAGTTTTAAAGTGATAAGGAAACAATAGGATTGTTTTGGTAAGAATAGATCATGGAGCCACACTTTCAGGCTTGCCGTCAAATTTACAACTGTGAAAGTCAGTAATAAGACATTCCTCTCAACTGAACCTTTTTTGCATCCTCATTTCTTCTCCTTGGCTGTCTTTTATTTTTACTTTTTAAAAAGTATTAAAACACAGTTGCTGTCTTTGGGGCTCTTATTGCTACTCCTGCTTTGGATATCTGCATTTTATACAGCCTCTCTCTTGGTCTGCAAGCTGTAGGTGTCATGAAGGTCACTGCCACAGCCAGACAACCAGAGAAGATTTTAGTAGTTGAGATATTTTTTAATCAAGATATAGAAATCCTGGCAAAAAGTCTAAAGGTTTATAAAAGAAGGAAAAGGTGTGCTAGAACTACTTCATAGCACAATCTGAACATCTTGTTTGGGCTCGGTGCTCAGCAGATGTATTCATTAAGGAGATTTCTTCATGAAGGAGCCCAAAATACATTTGACCTGTAATTATTGAACAGATTTTGTTTAACTGGAAATGTGCTACATACCAATCTGGTTCTGCTGGAATGTTTGTTTGTTTGTTGTAGTATGTCTCAATTCCAGGCATCTTCCTTCCTGCGCCGGCATTTTCACCTAAACAACACGGGCCCTGCTTGGAGCTACCTCAAACCATTCTTCAAAGATGCCAGTTCGCAGGCTTTGAACCGTGAACAACCTTGACCTTAGATTAGAATAGCAAAAAAAGTTTGAGCGCCTTCTGTTGAAAAACCTGTGTGAGAGTGTAGGTGTAGTACCTCAGCTGCAGGGTTCGCAGGAGGTGGGGGAAAGCTGCCCCCCAAGACACAGCTCCTGAGGGCAGCCGGGGTACCGCTGGCCACAGACTGCAGGCTGTGGCAGCAAGGGACAGATTCAGCTTCCCTCACAGAAGGAAGATACCAACCTTGGCAAATTCTCCACACTGACTGCAAGCCAAACGAATTTTGTTCCCTGCGCTGTTCTGCTTGGTGGCATTTTTCATCATTATGGAATCAGAGCAACCTAAGAAGTATCAACGAGATGATATTTCCTCCCTTAGCCTCTCCCCAGGGGTAAAAGCATGTGCAGGGGAGTATTTTATTTTAGTAGGCTTTCAATTTGAGCTGGCTCTCTCCTTTTGGGTAATAAATATAAATGATGCTCTGACCTTATTCCCCCTAACATAAAAACAAAGGTGTGCCCTCAGCATTATAGCAGCACCAATAGCAAGAGAAGGACAGAGGGCTGAGGACTGTCTGTTTGCTCCTTCCGTATCTTCCTGGTGTCCCTGATACCTCAAAGCAGAAGAATTCCACAGATTGTTGTATAAAGAGGTGAAATGTAAGCCTCACCTTAGAAGATAGGACGACACAGCTGACTGAGTGTCTTCTGCAAAATTCATCCACCTTTTCTACTTTTATCCACAGCATTTTCTTCCATATTGAAAAAAAATAAAAATGAAAGTTCCCTTACCCTCGTGTCTAGATTATATGCCGTCTTCTTTAAATCCTGCAGAGCCCTCTGCATGAACTCAAATGCATGGCAGTCAACACAGGGACGACCTAGGAGAGCATTTAGTAGAGTATTTAGTACAGAACCACGACTATACAGCATGAAGTATTAACTAGAAGGAATAAACAGTGATATATGAGTATGAGGAAGACCTACAGAAGAGCCCAGAGTGAGTACTGATGTATGTACCCTTGAACAAACCAGGTTCTTGCAGAATGTCCATCATGATGGTCCACCCAGTCTCTCAATGACAAAAGAATTACTTCAACAAATCTGCATTAAAAATTTCCTTCCTCCTTTATTGCTGTTCCCCTTGTCAGAGTTCCCTTCTCTTGTCACAGTTCATAGTGTGGAAACACTAAACCCCTAACCTGAGTCCTTCATTTTGCTCCACCAATCCTGAGCACATTTTTCAACCTCACCTTCAGATTTTTGGGGTTTTTCAGAAATTACCTCTGAAACCATGAGCCTGTTCCCTGGAAAATCTTGTCTCCTAATCTCATAAATTTGAGCTCTAAATAGAAAGCTAATGGAATAAAATTGACTACATTATCACAGAGACGGATCACTTAGCCTCTACCTTGGATATGATACAGCTTGGTTCAAAGCTGGTGAAGCAAGCAGCAGATAAACACAATGCCCTGTCATTAGTGGGCATTGCTGATAAGCAGAACTGCTGCATTCTGGACTAATTGCAGTGTTTAAGATAGTATTCCCATATCTAGATATCCAGACTGAAGGTCACAAGCCTTGCTGTGCTTTGATGATCATGTAACACAAAGCTGTGCCCTAACAGATAGCAGTGCTGAGACAGAACAAATATAGACATGATGAAATGTCTTCGAATCATCAGGCTCTACATATGCTCTTATTTGCTTCTCAGTGCCTGTGCCTCTCTGACAACTTCATAGGAAATGTTGCGCAAGTGAGAAATTCTGAGCGTGGGTTTAGTTTGCTCTTCGAGGTCTGGTAAGGAAGAAAGGATGAAACCTGGAGTGATGTTGGAAAATCCTGCAGTGTCTGTCAGCCCATTTTGCAAACACTGGATATTTGACTGATTACTACATGCCGCTGATAAGCTGGAATATGAGCTTCCAGCTCATGATCTGTGTGCTAACCAGCAGACAGGAATCCTGCCTGCTGGAGGAAAGGACTCTGCCAAATTCTTTAACTGGCTAGGGAAAAAAAAAAAAAAAAAAAGAGATAAAAAATAAACATTGAACAGTATTACAGACCTCCTCTTTCATTGTTGTACCACCACCCAACCTTAGTGTTATTATGCATGCACCAGACATAAGGAGAGGACAGCATTTTCCACATCAACAGCTTGATGCAAGGACCTGCCATTATGTTTATGATGTAAATCAAACTCAACACAGATCAGCAAAGGAGAACTAGGTGGCTAAAGGCTGCAAGACTAAGTGTTGACAAAGTTTGCTTTCTTGGCATCTTCATTGTGAATTTTTTTAATAAAAACTACTGACTTTAATATAGTGGACATTACCGAGAATGAAAGATATAACGAACAGTCAATGTCAGTTGAAAAAAGCAGGTCTCAGGAATGTCTCTGAAAAGCAAACAGGGTCACTCCTCGCATAGAAAGGGCTAACACAACAAAAGGGCTGTACAAAAGAAAATGTACAGAACTGGCAGATTTCAGGTACATGCAGGACACCAACAGGCAGGAGATAAGGGTAAGAGAGTGGACAGCCTTGGATGCAGGAGAAAAACGGCACTGGTATGCTCTCAAGTTGTGATTTTAAAACATTGTACACAAGACACGTCCAAAATAGTTTGAATTATTTGGACAAGCTTCAGTGAGATAAAGTCCTGCACCATTAAAACTACAGTACAAGCTGTATGAGAGGACTGTGGGGTGGTACGTACTTTCAGCTGGTATGGCTGTTCCCGCTTCTTGATCAGACCTAACAGGCTCTGCGAGAAGCAGTGCAACCACAAAAACTAAAGGAACTGCAAGGACCACTCTTCTCAGAAGGTAGGGTGCCAGCATCTTGGGAATGGGTGCTACTCTGTGTATCAAGAGACACAAACAAATCAGTGAGGAACATTACAGGTACAAGGGCTTCTTATAAAGAACTTAATGTTCCTGACAGCTAAAGCATTGGCAGTCTTCCTTTGAAAGAAAAAAAAAATATCAGAAAATCTAGAGCAAGGACAGAAATTCTCTGTACTTTTCCAGCAGTGCACATAAAACCCAACTGGGAGAATGTCCCTAGACATGAAAGAGAAGATCGGAAATCCCTAGACAGTTTCTGTTGTCGTTTGCCAGCCAGGATGCCAGCAACCTTGCCTGCTCTGACTCCAGTCTTTTTTTCTAACTACACAGCCCCAGACCAGCACATAAATCTGGATGGCTGCTTCACTCTTAGATTTCGAGATCAAAACTGCAGGGATTATAGAGCTGGCTGAAACAGACCTGAACTTGGAAATAAAGCTTTTACCCACTTGCTTGTTTTACTGATGCATCTTTTCACAAGTATAATAACTAAAGCTAACCATTATCACTAACTACGCACCACACTGATCATAAAAACTTACTCCTTTATGAAAGTAGCTGAAGGAAAAGACTTGTTAAACCTCCACAAATTCATAGGTAAAATTTCTAATAGTAAATGCATCAAAACTCTTTGACCTTCTGTTTCCCCTCCTAATCTGGGCTTCAGACCTTTATTTGCAGCCATCCATTTGTTCCTGACCATCACAGCCAGGCCACGTCATGCCCTGAAGATAGAATCACAGAATCATTTGGTTGGAATAGACCTTTAAGATCATCAAGTCCAACCATAATAGATACAGTCCAGTCCAGCAATGCCTCCCCTTCACACAGAGGTAAAATTTTTGATAAGTACACAGGTTTCAAAGGAAGTATTTTCTTTATTCAACAGGTAGGCTGTTGATATCAAGAGGGCACATGGGAAACTTGGATTGGCTCAAGCTGCAACTGTGTATTACAGATTTCAATCCAAGCCTCAAGGATCCTGGCAAACTTCTAGGGTGGTCCTTAGCTCAGCCAAGTTTACCTTCCATTCCTGTGTGTTCAAACGGAAGAAAGAAAGAATCAAATCAGGTTAAGCAGTAGCAACACAATAAAATCTACATGAAAATTCTCTTTAGCTAAACCCAGGAAAGCAAGACAACACTCTGTCTCTTCCTGATTTTTAAGTCAATGCATACTAAGCAAAAGATGTTGCATAAGAACATCGGATCTGCATGTGCTGAAAGCAAGAGTGCAGCACTCCCCAAACCAGCTTGCATTTCACATTTGGAAGGGCAATAGAGGGAGGCAGGAAAGGAAAGGGTTTTCCCCATCTTGCCACAAGCTTGCTCTTAGATATATGCGTTCAGCTGTTTCAGACACAGCTCATCTGAAGCTGCAAATTCTGCACAAACACTTGCAGCATGTGCAAACCAGCAATTCATCCAGGAAAGGAGCAGCATTATACACATTCCCTTCCTGTGCACCTCAACCTAAACCTAAGAGTAGGGGATGGTTCAGAAGCAAGAGACACGTAGTCACAGATCTATTTGGGCTCACACCAAATAACAGTCTGGTAATGTAATTCCTATAACTTCAGAACTGGGCTTCCTATCCCTCCCACTATTTAGAAGTGATCTGATGTGATCCTTTTTCTTATTTCTACAATCCTTAAAATAAAGGGATTAAAATCATATCAAATGGCTTGGTTTTTCTCTTTTAATTAATGGTGATCTGCAATCAAAGCAAGTACAATCAAAGACACCAGGCTTTGCAACTGGATGCAGCAGTGTCTCCAAGTAACAGTAAATTAGGATAACACCAGCCTTCTTTGAAAGTACCTAATGCAGAAGCCTCCTGGTCAGGAGGAGCAGAGGCTATTCTCATAGTTGACTACAAGTGCTAGAAAGGTTCAACAAAACAAAGCAGATATGGTGTTAAACTTTTTCAGGGTAGCTTACACATCACCCACCCCAGTATCAGCTCAGCTTCTTATGTGAGCCCCGCTGCAAAATAATTGCTCCCCAAGTGCAGCAGTCACCTCAGGCCACATCTAACTACTGCCTCTTAGTCATTCTGTGGGAATTCGCTATCTGCAAGGAATAATTACGATGGGCTTCAAGGGTGGTCTCTCTCTTCTGCAGTGCAACTGGGAACGGAGACAGATCTGTGCACAGACTTCTGTGAAAGAGAAAAGTAATCCCCTCTAACAAAGGAAAAAAAAATATCAGTACCTGATCTCTCTCCTGTCTTTGTGACGGTCTCTTTGAAATGGCCGCTGCAAACTGCTAACAGAACAAGTGCAGCATTTCTGAGCATGTGCACTGTCTCTTTTTAACCTTCCCTGAAAGAGGTTATTACTATGGGGAGATTTCTGCCATGGCAACAATGCAGAGCACTGCAGCACATAGCACAGATTTAAAGAGGAACAGGCTGTGTCTCCCAGGTCTGGGGAAGGATGTTTCTCCTTTGACAGCTGAGTTCCAGCAGTGACCTACCTGCGCCAGGTAAGGTTTTTTAAAGCCGGGCCATTTGATTCATCTCTCTTGAAGTCTGCTGAATGGTTTTCCTGAAGTCTGCTCAGCTGGATGTGGTGCCTGAAAATAACCATGACAAATTACATCTGCTTTATGAGAAACCAGGAAAAAACCATGGGATCGCACTCAGAAACTGCAGGACACGTCGCAGGTGAGGCTTTGCTGAGGGCCAGGAATTGTTCAGTGCACAGCCTGCCATGCGAAGGGTTCTGAGTTACAGGCTTCATAATCACTCCCGCCTGCTTCCCTAGGTGTTTCTGTGATCTCTGGGCTGCCAGGAGCAGCTGCAGAAGCACAGGCACTTAAACTCTGAGTGGGAACTTGAGCCCGAACTTGGAGTAAACTTCACCCCCCTTTTGCAGCCTGCACCTCCCTTCCCCTTGCAAAGCCCCACACGCTACGCTCTAGAACAACGGTGCCAGCACTTGTGCCGAATGCAGTACAATAATGGAGCACGAAGGATAAAAGTGCTTTTGTCAAAGCACAGCTAAGTTCAGGGGGTCACATCTCCCCCCCCCCAAACACATTTCCCATCACAAATTAGACCCTGGCAGTTCTTGCTGCAGAGAGAATGAGCGCCGCCGAGGGCAGGCACAGCGCTGAGGAGCACGCACCGAACTTCAAAGGGATCGCGCTCTGTTTGCTTTAGCCAGTTCAATACAGACTCAGTCTTAAACGCTTTCATGGTGAAAGCTGGGGCACTCAGTGTCCAGGAAGGTCAGGCACACAACCTTTTGGGTTTTTTTTTTTTGCATCAGTAGAAACTCTTTCTCAGAATTATGACTCAATTGCTGGCTGACATTTTTCTTTTCAGCATGCTCTCTAACCTGTCTCTCCTGTACAGCCCTAGGGGAATGGTTTGTTCCCATTAATTCAACTTTTTAAGTAAGATGCGAAAATTTCAGGTTGTTCATTGTGTACCTATGATGCTATATGAAGTTAGAGCATCCAGGAGCAGAGTCAAGAGAGGATTAATTATAATACTGCTATCCTTACATATCACCAAAACAGAAAGAAGGGGAAAGTAATTTTTAGAGACCGTTCTTTTGGGCAAACAAGATTTAGCGCTGTTCTTGCAGAGCTTACCATACAGGATTGGTCTGATTAAGTATCTGCCTGTGCACAAATTACAAATGCAGAACTTTATTCATGATCATTCTCAGCCATCTAATCTCACACCTTGGCCTCTCTTCCTGATACATAATATAGATATTCGCATACATATACACACACATGTATCTATCTATACATTTGCCTTTTCTCAACCTGTGCTCTTGATCATTCCCAGTAAATCTTAGCCTGTTCTCCTGAAGCCTGTCCCTTTTCTATCACACCAGTAACACCAAGCAGCCAGCCCCAGTAGCTTAGGTGTTATCACTGACTCGTTCTTCTAGACCCATGCAATGGGCTTCTAACTCCATTAAATACAATTTTAAAAATCCATTTCTGCCGTTCTCAGCTGCCAAATTCCTTGCTCTAGGCACCTCATACCAGCTACCATGACCTCCCTTCTTTAGCCCCGACCTAAACCCACTTGTCCTGCACGGAACAACTTCTTTTTCAGCGTTTTAACCAAATTTCTTCTTTATTCACTTCTTCCCACTCTGTACTGTGTTAAGCACCAGCTTTTCTCTTCACTTAAGCTAATAGTTTCTCAGCTGGAAAATAACAGTTGACCAAGGAGGAGATTTTCCAAAGAGGAAGTAGAGACCCCATTTTAAGATATTTTTATGTGAAAAATGTTTTGAAAAAAATTATTCTGACAAATTTGAAATTGATAATTTCTGGCTTTCTGCTTGAAAACTATTTCCCTTTTAAACCTAAGCTTAACAGAGTAAAAATACATTTCATGCTCAATTCATGGAATTTCAGAGCAGGAGCAGCTCTTATGTCAAGGGTATTGGGGCACATCCCCACCAGAATATTACCATCCCAACAAGATCTTTCCTTCTCTTATTATTTCCCTCATGCACAAAGCATGGGTGGTACAGATGCTAGCCCAAGGACACCCCAAAACTGGAAGTACAGACGAGAACTGGGACTACACAGCACCTGCACAGCAGCCCCCCGTGGCAATTCCACCGGTGTGCCCGAAGTCGCAGTGGTGGTCATGCGGCACGGCGGGCTGGGTGTGCAAAGTGACCCCAAAGTGAAAGCTGGAGCATCCTGACTCCCCAGCTGCCCTGGGGGATCATTCGTCAGGTAAGCAGAGAGAATTTATAGTTTCTTTTTATAATGAAGTTGAACACAATGGATTTTTTTTTTTTTTCGAGATCCCCACCAGCTAAAAAGCATCAAAGCAGTGTTTCTGAGATTTAAATTTTTCAACTTGATAGCACATGTTTTGATACTATAAATATTTCAGTGGGATTGGGAGAAAAGCTCAAACCTTTACCTCTAAGCCTCTTCACTGCTTGGTGTCTCCTTGGCTCTTAAATCTAATACTCTGTCACAGCAGAAAACTTCCTTCCCTTGCTAAGGATAACAGATTCTGTCACTTCTCCTGCAGACACTTTTATGCTCTCTTGCAGCCTGCCCTCTAAATCATGCTAAAAATCTCCCCACAAGGTACCATCTTGTCTTCCATCAAATCCTCTTTTAAGCTTTACCTCTGCCACGAATCCTACAAAGCACTGCTGCCTGGCAGAGCCTGGGGAGGAAGCCGGCTGTGGCTGACGATGGTATGCAAATGTGCTCGTTATACCAATATCTTGCTGCCTCACGCCTCTCGCTGGGCCCCCCCCATCATCCCACTGCAATCCCGGGCGGTGAATGCTCGAGGGCAGGAGCTGCGTCTGCACTTGTTGGCGCAGCACCACGAGGCGGGAGTGTTGATGGAGGCCCTCGGGCAGCTGTGATGAATAATAATGTCACACTGCCTAAAGCTGATCGCATTGTCCCACACTCTGATATATGAGCTATTCATAGAGCAAGCCTCTTATTCTTTCCCTTCAAATCTAAAGCTCTTGGGAAGTGTCAGAGTGACCAGATTAAGAAATGAAGCCTTCCTTTGTTCCCTGAACAGGTCTCGCATATCTTGGTAGCAGCAAATAATTGAAATCGTTCCTCCTTCCATCATCCCCACCAGTAATTTTAGGAATAATTTCCTTGTCAGTAACTCCAGTTCCTGCAGTCCCTATCTGCCAGAGTATGGCTCTTCTGAAACCATTCTAGGCCCCAAAAGTCTTGAGTTTCTGTGCAACACTAAGGCTGGTCTCATGTCCAAGTCTGAAGTTTCCCTGCAGCACTCAGGGAGACCTGCACTGTCAGAACTACTTACTGCTTTTTCGATGACGTGCTAAACTGCAGTCAAATCTTTCAGCATCTCCTCTGGGAGTTGAGAAGCATTTAAAAATCCCATGGCAATATTCAGGAAGGTTTAGCATTAGCTGAGCTATCCTTGGCTTGCACTGTCCTTACCCACCCTCCTGCACACACATCTTTGGGGAAATAAGCTGTGTTCCAAGCCATGCTTGAGCTATTTCTAGGTACATAATAGTTCCAGCTTTAACTAGTTTGCTAAGTCCACAAGGATGTCTTAAATACTTTGCAGCAACTACACAAATACGCATGCGTATGAATGGGCTTTGAACTGGAGGGGAGCAAACTACTAACTTTACAGGCTTTCCATTCTAGAACCAGACTTCAGAGTCCAGGGGCCTCTTCTAACATGGGTGGCCCAGAAAAGAGAACATCTCTTAGCTGAGCAGCAGTGCACCATTAACCTGTTTCCTGGCAAAGGCTGCCTTGAAAACTAGCAACTGAGGAAGCTAAAGGAAATGAGACTGCTAAAATTGGAAGCTTATCAATGACCCTTTTTCCCCAAAAAGATGTTTCTTATCCAAAGTCTGCATAAGGACTCTCAGACTTCAGAATCCAGAAGAGCCGTAGTCAGGGGGCTCCAGATCCATTCCCATCTCTAGGAATCAACTGCTTTGCAGTCAGCAACCTGAGACTGATCCAGGATGACTTTTATGACAGCAATACTTGGATCTCATTGATAATCAACAATTCTGACATTAATATCTCTGTGATTTCATGGCTTAAAGATGGATGTGCCTTCATACATCTGTGTTTGAAAACACCATCTTTCACCTGAGTTCATGTTTACAAGATGTTTGCAAGCTGACAGATGTGGGTTCTCTTTTTTACAATTTTTTTTCTCCTTTCTACAATGACAGTACTACAAATTGCCAGCTGGTTAGTGCAGTACTATCCTGATGTTACACTAACTGTGATTGCACAGCTTCTAGCTAAGACCTTACTCATGTCTGCCTTCAAAATGCCCTGTGAATGAATTCCTCATTTTGTTCCAAGGATGTTTTTAGACACTAGCCAGTGATAAACAAGCAATTAATGTTCCTTAAGTATCATTACAGTGGTCACAATCTTGGCTGAGGTGCTAGAAAACAGGCCAGAACCACCCCTGCTAAAAGCATGGCTAGCTACAGCATAAGCGACTGAGTCAAGAGTCAGCGATCAGAGCTGGGACAGACTCCCATCCTCAGGAGGTCTAGAACTCAATCTAGGCAGGGATCAAGTTCTAACACATGCTCATTAACAGAACTCACTCCCCAATTCCTCAAGATCACCTGGTTATCATTCTAGAAGGGAGACACAGCTATCACCAGGGCACAATGGGTTATTTGTTCCTTGGAGAACTTTTTGTAACTGTTGGGGAAAAAAAAAGTGGGTCTACAACCCTCAAAACAGCACTTTGGGTTCTTCTTCTGAAAGAAAAATCATGAAGAATCCTATGTTAGTCTTCTTGCTTACTAAGTTACAGTTAGTAGTAGCAACTACTGTCAACCTCTGTTAGCACCCCTGATGCCAAATGTGCTGCAGGGCACTTCCCACACTGGAGGCTTGGTTTCTGAGCAATGCAGTCTTTCATTTCTAGCATCCTGGGAAGTATCTTTGCTTTCTTCCACACTTGTCCTCCTAATTATCTTACGGGCTTTCGCTGCACACTGTTGTAAATCACATGCATCTATGCAGAAAGACAGCATCTAGGCTCTAGCCTAGTACACTTGTATAGCATACAAGATCCTCATCCAG